CTTGAGCCACTTTTGGCTATTAACTGGAGATAAAGACTTTCTTTTCCAGGCTGGCTTTGAACCACAATCTTCAGATCTCAGCTTCCTGAGTAGCTAGGATTACAGGTGTGAGCCTCCTGCACCTGGCTTCACTCATCTTTTTTTTGGTCAGTCATGGGCCTGGGCGCTGTCCCTCAGCAGTTCAGCTCAAGGTGAGTGCTCTACCCCTTGAGCCACAGCACCACTTCCAGCTTTTTTCTTTTTGCTTATGTGGCATTGAACCCAGGGCCTCATGCATGCAAGGCAAGCGCTCTGCCACTGAGCCACCTTCCCAGCCCCCATCACACATCTTTTTTAAGCACCACTCTCCTCTATTTCAATAGCAAGGTCCCTCTGCTGGTTATCTTCTTGTTCACAATGGTCTCAAGCATCAGGGATCTGGTGAAACTCTTCTCTGGGTACCAGTTTTGCTGGGTACCAGTGAAGAGTTTAAGGCAGAAGAAAGAGTTGATGGGAGGATGCGCAAGCACTTAAGACACAGCTGGTGCTGGGGGAGGGGATGATCCTATCTCACTGGGCTGGCTTTTTTTTTGGGGGGGGGGGAGGTCTGTCATGGAGCTTAGACTCTGGGCCTGGCAGCTATCCCTGAGCTCTTCAGCTGAAGGTTAGTGCTCTACTACTTTAAGCCTTAATACCACTTCCAATTTTCTGGTGATTAATTGGAGATAAGAGTCTTGTGGACTTTCCTGCCTGGGCTGGCTTTGAATCATGATTCTCAGGTCTCAGCCTCCTGAGTAGCTTGGATTACAGGCATGGGCCACCAGTGCCCAGCATGGTTGGCATTTTAAACTGAGCAGTCAGAAGCAGGAAGAAGGACCCCATCACAGAAATTGTGTCTACTTTAAGACATGGCTCTCCCACTCAGATTTCCCTGCTTTGAGGGGATCAAATACTCACTGGGTCCTGGGCAAGATGGCTTTGTACATTGTAGGCCAAATGCAAGGCCCCTGAGGGTACGGAACACACTGCCAGTGCCCTTTCTGGATAACATGGCATTCCCCCTTTCAAGAGCTGTGGGTGGATTCTGTCTATTAACTGACTCTACTCCTCCTCTGTTACTCTCTGCTGGGAGCTCCGGGTATACCCTGGTATGATCATCAACTGCTTGGACTCACATGTGTGACCCAGACCCAGTGGCTATAATGCAAAGGTTTGCACATGAGCTCTGCAGTTAGACCAGTGTTGGTTCAAATCCCAGTGTCCCTGCGACAAGGCTTTGACTCTGCTAATTTTATCTCTTTAAGTCTCAATTCCTCATCTGTCTAATGGTCATAACAATTTTTCTTCTCTCCAATGGTAAATGTCCAGTAAATAGTCTCAATTACACTTTTTTCTTAAGAGGCTAGGATCTGTATGGAATTTATATCTCCTTAGGGCCCAATATTAGATGACATGGTCATTCCTTTTTTGTTGAATGAATGATTGGCCTTTGAGAATGAGACCTATGTTCTACCATTCTTCAATGACTTCTTTTTCTTGTTTTTGGCGGTAGTAAATCAATCAAGGGGCCTCTTGCGTGCTAAGCATGGCTTTACCACTGAGCCATACCCAGCCCCAAAGACTTCTTTCTTGTCAGTCTACATAGCTCTAGGAGACAGGGAAGAGGGGGATGGAGGAAAGAAGGAAGGAAGGAAGGAAGGAAGGAAGGAAGGAAGGAAGGAAGGCAGGAAGGGAGGGAGGGAGGGAGGGAGGGAGGGAGAGAGGGAGGTAGAAAAGAAGGAAGGAAGGAAAGAAGAAGAGAGAAAGGAAAGAAGGAAGGAAGGAAGGAAAGAAGGAAGGACTCACTCTGGTCTTTCTGCTAATGTTTGCCTAAAGTGAGAACCAGAACCCAAGCACAGATTGCTTCCACTGCTCTCCAGGTGCTTCCTGAATGGTCCTCATAAGGCATCTGGGTTCTGATACCCCTTCTCCTTACGAGTCAGGGGTGGGAGGCCAGATTGAAAAAGAGACAAGAACTTGGCCCTGGCTGACACCAGCTCTAGTCGGCAGGGCACCAGTGAGCATGGGCATGGAGAAGGTTCATTCCTGGCTTTCATGTCTGGTTCTCTTCCTAGACCTCCTAGGCCCTGTTATTTCCTCTCTGTAGCAATGGAGGATGAGGAAAGGGCAGGCAGGAGCTTGGACAAGGCACCTCCACCCCAACACACACTGTACTTCTGTCCTCCCTGCAGGCCCTGTGCGGGATGGGCTGACTACTTCACTGGCACATCACGTTTGTACACATTTATGAAGAATAATGTGATGTTTCAGTATGTGTATACATTATGTGGTCATCAAACCAGGGCAATTAGCATATCCATCATCTTAAACAGTTGTCCTGTTCTCAGCTCTGAAGTTCACAGAGCTTTCATGTTAGCTCACCTTCCTGCCACTGCGTCCCCTGTGCCTCCCACTTCACAAGCCCTGTCCCTTCCTCAGTCATTCAGGTGAACCAGTACTTTCTGGTTGGGCCCTAGACTTGGGGACCGCACCTGCAGCCAGTTGGCAGGAGGTCTGAGTTCAAATCTTGCCTTTGTTACTCACTGGAGATGAGACCTGACAAGTCACTTTTGCTCTTGGAACCTCCGGTTCCTCATCTGTAACATGAGATTCTATAACACACCTTGAAGCTCTAGTGCAAGAATTAACAGCCGTATGTATGTGTATGAGGTATCTGACCCACAATTGCTGCTCCACACAGGAGTAGGTGGTAGAGAGCCGGGGCTCATACATGCTAAAAATAAGTAATCATTTCATTTCCTTAGCCTGATCAGTGCCAGTGGAGAGACCCTGGCAGACCCCAGAATTCCTCATCAGAGCTGACATTGGTGTTTGGTCCCTCTGGGCTCTGCCTGCAGGGAGCTGACAATTCAAGAGGCAAACAAAACAGGGAAAGCGACTCAGAATTAACAATGGACCAGATGCTCATGCTAGTTTGAAGCAATAAAACATGATAAATAGCTTCCTGCTGCTACTCCTGATCAATTTCAATATTTAATAATTCCACAGCCCCCACCCCACTCCCTCATCTGGCCCCTCCACGGGCATCCAGCTCACAGAGCAAACACTTCTTGGCTTTCTGAAAGCATCAGCAAAAAGTGACGTCGCCTAATTGTCACATGAGCATGCTGGGTCCTCAAAAATGATCATTAATCTGCCTGCCTGTCCTGCAGACGCTCCATCTCGTGTCTCTGCTGTTGCCAGGGGAGCTGGAGCTGTGGCCGGAGCTGCTAAGTGCAGAGATGCAACTGGAACACTTGCCTTGTTGATCCAATGACTGTGGAGATTGTCTGACTTTTGCTTTTGAATGGAAAAAAAATAGGGCAGAGAGAGCTCTGTGGTCATCTTACTCCAGGACCAATGAGTAGGAGGAAGTGACCTGGAGGGAAAACCCACCTAGGTTGGTGTTTGAATCTGACCTACCAACTACGCCTCTGAGCCTCAGTTTCCTTCTCTGTACCACAATCAGACCTATCTGTGGGAGAATTTCAGGCAATGCAGTACATGTAAAGTGCCTGGCATAGCTGACAACTGGCAGCCAACATCACTACCAAACTGCTTTATCTAACTCAGAAAAAGCAGCCATGATGAGCATCAGTGCCCTACAGGGAGGGGACTCTGTGTCCCAATGTGTGGGCATGGGGCTAGATCTGCTGGGTGTGGCACCAACAGTCAGACAGCCCTGCCCTAGGCATTTCCACCACCGTGTCTACTAATAAGATGAACCAGCTTGCCTGGATTGCCACGATCCCAAACGCTTTAGGACCCAGTGGTGCCGAAGACCTTAAGGCCACTGCAGATGGCGGGCGTCCTGGGGTCATTTTACAGCTGGCACTTTCAAACTGCAGTCAAATGCAACCCGGGTCACTCAACCTCTGACTTCACATCCTGTCCCCCAAATCACAGGAACCAGCTGCTACCTGAGGTGCCTCCCCTCCCCCCGCCCCTCTGGGTATTGCTTGTACAGGGAGGTGGCTGGGAGGGGAGAGCGGCACCAGGAGGCTACGGGTCCACTGTCATTGTATGACCATCACCAACCTGAAGTTTACCCATCTGTGAAACAAGATGCCTGGTGTCTTCCATATTAGGCCATGGCGACACTTAAGGAGAGAATAAGTTTGGAAAAATTTGGTGATCCTGCCATGAGTCATACAAATATCAGCTATTATTATTAGGACTTTTTAACAAAACACCCTTTTGTAAGGAGAAAGTTCAGGAACTCCTCGATCCACAGATATGTTCTAATACAATTCTTCCCCACAGAACACCGATGATCAAGGTCAAATCCTTCAGTGAGCCATTCAAGACCTTCCATCCTCATTCCCACGCCTTCCTGTTCCTTTTGCTCCAGTCCATCTGAGATCGTTGGGGTGGCTTGGGTCCCAGCCCCTCACAGGTGTCCACGTTTAGGCTCAGCTATCCCTATGCCCAAGCAGCCACACCCACCCTGCACGTCAGATGATCCTGAAGGTCCTTCTCCAAGTGGCTCTCCCTGGAAAGGGATGAGGAGCTTTCTGCTGGCTTCCTTCTATTTGCTTCTCTCTATCTCAGCACATCTCTCACTATGCCGATGTCATTTCCCCATGTGGTTCCCACCCCACAGAAAGGTTTTTCCACACCAGAGCCAAGTTCTCTATAGTCTCTCCAACACCTGGCTAGCATGTGCTCAGCAAATGTGTGCTGAGGGAAAGAGTAAATGAGTGAATAGCTGAGTCTCCCCAAGAGAGATGTAGTCAGTCTTAAGCATAGCCAGAGGGTGCTAATGGTGGGGTTAGAAGGTGGCAGGGGTCGTGCCTTGGTAGCAGACAGTAACCTGGAATTTCAGTTCTGCTTAGTTTCTGCAGTGGTGCTCAGAGCAGATCGGATTATCTTCCTTCTTCAGCATCACAGAAGAGTATGCACTCTGCTCCCCCCGCCCCCTCCCCTCCCCTCGGTGCTTCTTGGGGTCACATGAGAACCTGGTGGGGGTGACCAGCAGGTACCTGACTCTCGCTGGTCCAGGGTCACAGAGTTCCACCTCCTGGTGATGTCGATGTAGAGAATGTCCACGGCGGCCATGGACAGGCTGCTGCTACTCAGCTTGCAGTTCCTGCAAAGATAGAGAGGACATTACCACGAGAGGGACAGCCGCCCTGTTCTTTATCTTCCCCGGGGCCTGCTGTGGACTGAATATCTGTCTGCCCCACCCCCAAAATACATAGTGTGAACTCTTCTTCCCCAAGTGAGATTCATTAGGAAGTGGGGACTTTGGGGTGGGTGCGGTAGTCCAGGTCATGTAAGTACAGCCCCACTGGATGGGTTTGGTGACTTTTAGGAAGAGATCTGAAAAAGCTCGTATGCTCTGTCTGCTCTTGGCTGCATGAGGATCCAAGTACAAAATGACCATCAGCAAGCCAAGAGACAAGCCTTCACCAGATCTCTCCTTCTCTAAACTAAGAATTGAATGTTTGTTGTTCTGCCAGTGCTGGGATTTGAACTCAAGGCCAGTAGGGGCCCTTAGCTTTTTCTTCTCAAGGCTGATGTTCTACCATTTGGGCCACAGCTCCACTTGCAGGTTTTTTGGTGATAACTGGAGATAAGTGTCTCATGAACTTTTCTGGCCCGGCTAGCTTTGTAACTTCCTTTCTCAGATCTCAGCCTCCTGAGAAACTGGGATTACAAGTGTGAGCCACCAACGCCTGGCTGTTCTGGCATTTTTTGACACCTGCTCACACGGTCTGAGATGATTTATTTTCGCAGGTTGTGTTTCTTGCTTGGAATTGCTAATGAAGAATAGCAGGGAATGCTGAGAAAAAAAAGCTGAACATATGACCGGGGATTAGATGGTTTGGGTTCCTATAAATTCAGCCATTGGCTTTCTTGGGGGCTAATGCTTCCTAGAGCAAGGCCATCACCACCACAGGCCTTGAACTACAGGTCTCAGTGCTCTGCCACTGAGAAGCACATGGCCTGGGTGGCTGATTCCTTCTCCTTGTCTGTGCAGTGGGTGGGCTTTCATAGCACTGTCACTGTTTCAGAGGGACCCACTCTAGAAGGAAATGAGAACGCCACGTTTCAGAATATACCCCCTTACATGTGTCTCCATCTTCCTACCCATCAGTCCCTGCACACGTGCACGGCCCCTTCTGCTGGCATCCTGGCAGCTGCAGGTGTCAGGTACAGAGGACCCCTGATGACAGTCCCTCACTGAAGCCATCACGGTGGGGCAGAAGCAAGACCCCGGATGCTCACCCGAGGAGGCTCCTGAGGCCGGCTGCAGACAGGCTCTGCATTCCTGTACTTTCCCTGTCTTAATTTTTGTCACCTCAACATTTAACATAAGCTTCAAATCAGCCCTAGGAAACTCACATTTCTGGGGCAGAACAGTATGGCTGAGCCATGCCCCTCTGTGGGGGCTGTGCCAGCCTTATGGTGGGGGAAGTGGGAAGAGGGGGGAGCCCTCGGGAGCCCTCTGTGGGATGCTTTCTTAGAGTCACCTAGAAATGTCAGGAGGAGGCAGGGTGCCTCTGAGCTTCAGCTGCTTCCCTCATTAAGTGCAGGGAGACCAAAGTAAGCAGCTTTTCACTCTGATGTCGGCAATGGTGCTCAATGTCCAACCGCAGAGCAGCTCAGATCGAGTGCCCCCCCCCCCCCCCCCGCTTTCATTTGGTCTGGAAAGGTGGGCGATCTGGATTGAGATCCTGGCTCCCTCACATTCTCTAGCTGCCTGACTGTGGACTGCTTCCTTACCCCATGACTCTACCCATCTTGGGCCTCCATTTTCTAGTCTTTCTATAATATTACCTTTTATTGAGGGAGTGGATGCCTGGTACTTGGTAGACCTAAAGCAATCATTCATTCCCTTCCAGATCCTGCTCTCCCTGTCCCTTTTCCTCTCCTGCAGCCAGAGCCACCTGGGCCCTGCAGGCCACCAAGACAAGCATGCAGTGCATAGCACTGACCCATCTGCAGCCCCAGCTAATGAGAAAATGGTGCTTTGATTTCCCATTTGTCATGATCCCCTGTGGGGACAGCTCCCTTAGGAACCAGACAGGTGGGGTGCTGATTGGCAAGCAGAACTGGGCATCCAGAGGCCCTACCCCAAACCTAGGTACACCCCTAATGATGGGGTGGGAGCATACCCAGCATGGAGCCCAGATAATGCCTGGTGCTTCTCATACTGGCTGGCTTGCCCCCTCCCTTCCTGCTTCCCTCCCTCCCCTTTCTTCCAGTCCAGCCTCATTTCCCAGGCCATCAATTCACATCCTGCTTCCTCCTGGGCTCCGGCTCTATATTTCAATCACAAGTCACCGTGGCAGACTTCAAAGCACATCAATGCACAGTTATTGGAACTCCGTAACAACATGTCAGTGGACGCAGAGTCTTTCACATCACCTGTCACCAAGATGGCTATCTCTATTGGGTTCCACTGGGGATGAGGCTCATGAACAACTTACAGGGCTAATTGCCAGAGCTTCATTAGGAAAAGGCCACGGGTTTTCTCTCATTACAATAGCTGTGTCCTGCAGACTACCTGACTGCCTGAGGGCCTGAGCACTGCCTGGCTGGCTCTGTGGGTTAATGGAACACAAAAAGGTAAACCAAACTGACCACTAGTATGTAGTGACTTTTTGTGACAAGAAGAAAATAGAAGTGTCAAAGCTTTAGCAGGAGCTGTAATTTACCAAAGAGAATTCTCCACTTATCCCCTTTCCAAGGTAACTCATCCTGCCTAGTGATGCCGGCAAACACTGTTGATCGTAACATCTGTTGCCGGGACAGGGGAGGAGGGTCTGTGTTGGCTGTAGGAAGCAGGAAATGCTTTCAAAGAATTTTGATTCTGTAGGCATTTCTTGGGCACCATCTGTCTTGCAGGCCCTTTCTTGCATGAGCTCTCAGAATCTTTATAACTACTTCATGGGGGAGTGTTGCCCAGTCTCATTTCAGTCAATGGAGTACAAAGCTGAGGACTAGCAGAAAGGCTTGGCCCTGGGGCCAGTAGCTCACACCTGTAATCCTAGCTACTCAGAAGGCTGAGATCTGAGGATCGTGATGTGAAGTCAGCTTAGGAAGAAAAGTCCGTGAGCCTCTTATCTCCAGTTAACTAGCAAAAAGGTAGAAGCAAACTGGGAAAGAGCCAGCAAAAGGATGACATTGTCTAAAAAGAAATGTACTCTTTACCTGACATAGATGACTGTAATCCCTCTGCATATCACCTTTATAATCACACACACACACACACACACACACACACACACACACACACACACACACACACTGCCAGAAGCACAGCTGTGGCTCAAATGGTAGTTGGGGAACTGTAAGGAGGCACCCAGTCTACGGGCACTGAAGGAACCCCAGAATCAAGACTCCACGTCTCAGGCCTGGGACCATAGGGCTGAGCCTCTAGTGCACTGTTTTGGGCAGCAGGCTCATGGGAAGACAACCAGAATCCAGTGAAGACACCTTCTCCCAGGACGCCCTGTGATCTCCAATTTTCACCCAGGCTCACACAGAGCCACGAGGCCAACGCTCTGGGATGATTCTTTTTCTGATCCATCCACTCAGTCAATATAAAGTCGCTTTCCCCTCCCCTATGTGCAGTCAGCTGTAGTCTAGGCTCAGTGAGCAGGACAGGGATAATGGGTCTTGGGGTAGCACGCCCAGAGGGTTGATGTGATCTGAGGCAGGGAAGAAAGTCAAAGCCTAGCCACTGCTGGATCATGGAGAACAGGTTTCTCTTTTGTCCCAGGATGCAGTTCTTCAAACAGCTCATGAGTAGAAGGCTAAATTCTTCAGTGGAGAAGAGTCTAAGAAATATGGTACATGAAAAAGCCAGAAAAACTCCTAGGAAAAGGAGAGGTTGGACATGAACTTGGAACACTCCAGCTTGAAATCAAAGGCATGAGTTTGAATCTTGGCTTTGCCATGTGACCTTGAACAAGTCATGGAAGCTCTTTCATTGGTATAGTGAGACCAAGATTATTCACTGGATAATGTTGTTGTTGTTGTTGTTGTTGTTGTTTTGGGTCTGGTCGTGGGGCCTGAACTCTGGGCCTGGGCGCTGTCCCTCAGCTCTTCAGCTCAAGGCTAGCACTCTACCACTTGAGCCACAGCGCCACTTCCGGCTTTTTTCTTTTTTGCTTATGTGGTGCTGAGGAATCGAACCCAGGGCCTCAGGCATGCAAGGCAAGCGCTCTACCACTGAGCCATCTTCCCAGCCCTGTTGTTGTTATTATTATTATCTGATACACTGGGTTTGATCTCAGGAACTCTACCACATATTCAGCCTTTTCTATTATTTTTCTAATAGAGTTCCCCCCGCCCCTTAGGCCAGCCTGGGCTTCCATCTTCCTATTTGTCTTGTCCACATAGCTGGGGTTATAGGCATGCACCATTACACTCAGCCTTTTATTAGTCAAGATGGGGGTCTTACAAACTTTTTGCTTAGGCTGGTGTCAAATCTTGATCCTCTTGAGCTCAGTCTCTTAAGTAGCTAGGGTTACAGGCATGAGCTCTCTTTTCAAGGGTGTTCAGTGTCTAGCACACATGGGAAAGTGGCAGGTGACAGTTTGATCTTTCCTCTGTGATGTAGAATCAGATTGAAAAAATAATTTTTTATCCTTCTATTTGGTTTTTGTTTTTCAGAATTGAAGGTATTTGGGCATATATGATGGGAGAGAATCACAAGTCATTCAAGTTTGCTAGGAACGCAAGTAAAGAAAGATTTGAGGTGATCATTCCCATTTCCTCTTAACAACTGCTGACATCTCATGGGAAATTTAACAACCAACTTCTCCACTCCATAAAGTTCTATTTATAGAATCCCTTTTATATTCACTTTTCTCTGTGCAAAAATAAAGAAGCATTTTTTTTTCCTGGAGAGGTTTCTATAAGGTAAAAACTAACAAATTACCAATATTTATTATAAGCCAAAGACAAAGACATGTCATATCAACATATGGAGAAGGAGGGAGATAAACTCTGATTTAAAATGTGTCCATTAAAAAATTAGCTTCTATTTAGTTATATTGGGGGATTTCATTGTTACATCTCTATGCATTTTCAGAATGAAAATGTATGTATTTCAAAAGGCCCTGGGTACCTTAG